TTGTTCTCCATATTTAAGAGTCTCTTCTGTTTTGTCCCCCTCCCTGTATTTATTTTTTGTTTCCTTTCCCTTATGTTCATCTTTTTTTTCTCTTAAAGTCCTCATATAAGTGAAGTCATATGATGTTTGTCTTTCTCTAATTTCACTTAGCATAAAATCCTCTAATTCCATCCACAAAGTTGCAAATGGCAAGATTTCATTCTTTTTGATTGCCGAGTAATACTCCATTGTCTATATATACCACATCTTCTTTATCCATCCATCCATCAATGGACATTTGGGCTCTTTCCATACTTTGGCTGTTGTTGATAGTACTGTTTATAGTGCTATAAACATTGGTATGCATTTGTCCCTTCAAAACAGCATACCTATATCCCTTGGATAAATACCTAGTAGTGCAATTGCTGGGTCGTAAAATAGTTCTATTTTTAATTTTTTGAGGAACCTCCATACTGTTTTCCAGAGTGGCTGCACCAGCTTGCATTCCCATAAAGGTCATTTATATTTGAGTGCTCCCTCTATGTAGGCCAGTGGTACCAAGCTTCTAAAGTTTTGTTAGTGATTTATTTGGTAATATGTTTGCTTTCTCGAAAATGTTTACTGCTTTTTTCTTTCATTTTTTATTTGAATCGTTGACTTGAGTATTTTACCCTGGTCCCAATACCACCGGCAAAGATTAGAAAGGTGAATTCTATTCAGAAATTCACTTATATTACTGATATTTTTCTTTCCCTGAAATAACTCATTACAGAACAGAACATTGACAAAGAGGCTGACTTTAGAAAGTTTAATTTTATAGTTCTGTGCTAGATTTTCTTTTCCTTGACTTTTGATCTACAGAGACCTGGAAAATGGTTGCTTTGAGAATTATATGTGTACAAACTAATTGGTTACTGTTACTTCTGAAGGTATTTGAAGAATTATTGCTTGATGCAGATTGGAGCATAAATGCTGGAAGTTGGATGTGGCTGTCTTGTAGTTCCTTTTTCCAACAGTTTTTTCACTGCTATTGCCCTGTTGGTTTTGGTAGGAGAACAGATCCCAATGGAGACTATATCAGGTAAATCAAGGGTGATTTTTATTCAGTTTGGAATAACTAATCCAGGAAGAAATTTTTATGTTTAAGCAACACTTAAGGTTTTCCCCACTTATCATGGGCAGCAGAAATGAGGAGATGGGTAAACAAATCATTTAAATGGTATTAACTTGATTTTGATCATTCATAGCTAATAATTAGTTTGTTATAATTTGCTTATAGTTCATTTTATTAATAGTTTTTCTTCCTACTCCCAAAAGGCGTTATTTGCCTGTCCTAAGAGGTTTCCCTGCAAAATATATCTATGATCCCTGGAACGCACCAGAAGGTATCCAAAAGGTAGCCAAATGTTTGATAGGAGTTAATTATCCTAAACCGATGGTGAACCATGCTGAGGCAAGCCGTTTGAATATTGAGAGGATGAAACAGATTTATCAGCAGCTTTCACGATATAGAGGACTAGGTATGTCAGCAATTACCTTTTGTTTGTTTCTTTGGCAGTTGTTTATGTGTACCTATCCTTGAATTTGATCTTGAGCATAACTTAATAGGAAATTTTTTCCCTTTAGGTCTTCTTGCATCAGTGCCTTCTAATCCTAATGGGAATGGAGGCCTCATGGGATATTCTCCTGGAGAAAATATTCCAGGTTGTAGCAGCAGTGGAAGTAAGTGAAAAGGAATTTTCTACACTTAGTAACATAGAGAGATTAATAATCAAATACATATTTATTGAATCCTCACTACGTTTTTAAAAAAATCTATCTTTTGTAATCTATCTTTGTATAGTAAGTTCTTTGTACACATACATACATGTGTATATACATGCACTCACACATGTATACCCTCATTTCATTAGTGACATTTTAGAGATGAAAAACATCTTTTACACATAGTAGAATTTAGGTGAAGAGGTTTTCTTGGAAGATTGTGGGGTGGATAGCAATTTGGGTAGGCAGATGAAGGAGAGAGCATTATGGACCTGGAAATGGGAGCAAGTGATTATGGAAAGATCCTGAGGATTTGACTTGCTATTAAAGCATTCTTCCCTCCAGTTTTTGTTCCATTTGAAAGGATTAGATACTTCTGAAGCATATCCATTTTTTCCCTCTACTTATCCTGTTTGTAGGCTTTTATCTTATAGTGTCTCACAAGGCATATCAAAGGTCAATATTCTATGTAACTTATATACAGATGTATTGAAGTATTTTTGTTCTTAAAATAAAACAAAGCATAATGTAATTATGATAATAATTAAAAAAATTTTTTTAAATGCTTATTTATTTTTTTTAATTTTTTTTTTCAACGTTTATTTATTTTTGGGACAGAGAGAGACAGAGCATGAACGGGGGAGGGGCAGAGAGAGAGGGAGACACAGAATCGGAAACAGGCTCCAGGCTCTGAGCCATCAGCCCAGAGCCTGACGCGGGGCTCGAACTCACGGACCGCGAGATCGTGACCTGGCTGAAGTCGGACGCTTAACCGACTGCGCCACCCAGGCGCCCCAA